TAAGGGAATTTTGGGACTTCAGCCCCCTCCCCAAAGCCTCCCCTCCCGTCTTCCCTTGTCGCCGTCCCTGTCTTGCTTCGTGTTGAGATGCGAGACAGAAATTGGATCCTGCTTGTTTATCTCATTCATTTTCTGTTGGCTGTTATGCCAGTGGAGCGAGAATGTAAACAGTGAGACTATTACAATTATAGAATTGTGACGGGACAACACTTACTCGACTCTGATGAAATATCAACCTGTCGATGAACTAAGGAAGAACACTCTCTAAGAAGACCTTAGATCGAAATCAACTTATTCAGTCTTTTTTATTTACAATTTCTTTTTCTGTCAACATGAGGGTTTCCCCAATTTATACTTCCTTTTATTGAATCTGTTTTTGCATATATACGGCCATAGGGTTACATGAAATAGAATAAAAGAGAGTGAAAATTGTGATGATTAAATTGACGGTGATATAGAGTCAAAGGAAACAAGTGGTAGGCTGCCATCACCTGGTCTCAAAGACCAGCAGTGAGGTAGACACAGGAGACGACCATAATCTTAAGTACCATTTGGACTGGATGAGGGTCGCCGGTACTGTTCCTGGTGGCAATATAAACACAAATGCAGTATAATGTGATCCTTTATTGACTACGTTTCGCCCACACAGTGGGCTTTTTCAAGTCACAAACAGTTCTGTTTGTGACTTGAAAAAGCCCACTGTGTGGGCGAAACGCAGTCAATAAAGGATCACATTATACTGCATTTGTGTTTATATTGCCATTGTGTCGGTATTTTATACCATTTATTTCCACTGTTCCTGGTCTTGAGTACCAGCCCATCAACAACCTCTTAATAACACAGTACACATTTCGGTTGTTGTTTCGACCCCGATTTGTGTTCAAAACTTTCTTATTGCCTTCATATTTAATTTATTGCTGTTATGGTCTGTTATAAGTGGTTGATTTTTATTCATAAAGGACAATCTAAACTTATATAAACCTGTAGCCTAACCTAAACTACGTAAACTGACGAATTTACTGCTAAAAGTACGTGAAGAAATGCACGTTCAGTTTAAGAGGATGGATTGTCTAGTACATTATCAGATAGTGAAAGAAAAGTTAGTTTCAGATAATAGAAGATAATGCAGGTTATACTGATTAACACAGTATAAGTGGTATTGTACAATCAGCAAGCCACCTACCTGGCTTCTGATTCACACGGTAGCAGTGATATTGTGCAATCACTAAGCCACCTACCTGGCTTCTGATTCACACGGTAGCAGTGATATTGTACAATCACTAAGCCACCTACATGGCTTCTGATTCACACGGTAGCAGTGATATTGTACAATCAGCAAGCCACCTACCTGGCTTCTGATTCACACGGTAGCAGTGATATTGTACAATCACTAAGCCACCTACCTGGCTTCTGATTCACACGGTAGCAGTGATATTGTACAATCAGCAAGCCACCTACATGGCTTCTGATTCACACGGTAGCAGTGATATTGTACAATCACTAAGCCACCTACCTGGCTTCTGATTCACACGGTAGCAGTGATATTGTACAATCACTAAGCCACCTACCTGGCTCTGATTTCACACGGTAGCAGTGATATTGTACAATCAGCAAGCCACCTACATGGCTTCTGATTCACACGGTAGCAGTGATATTGTACAATCACTAAGCCACCTACATGGCTTCTGATTCACACGGTAGCAGTGATATTGTACAATCACTAAGCCACCTACATGGCTTCTGATTCACACGGTAGCAGTGATATTGTACAATCACTAAGCCACCTACATGGCTTCTGATTCACACGGTAGCAGTGATATTGTGCAATCACTAAGCCACCTACATGGCTTCTGATTCACACGGTAGCAGTGATATTGTACAATCACTAAGCCACCTACATGGCTTCTGATTCACACGGTAGCAGTGATATTGTACAATCACTAAGCCACCTACATGGCTTCTGATTCACACGGTAGCAGTGATATTGTACAATCAGCAAGCCACCTACCTGGCTTTTTGATTCACACGGTAGCAGTGATATTTTACAATCACTAAGCACCTACCTGGCTTCTGATTCACACGGTAGCAGTGAATTGTACAATCACTAAGCCACCTTCCTGGCTTCTGATTCACACGGTAGCAGTGATATTGTACAATCACTAAGCCACCTACCTGGCTTCTGATTCACACGGTAGCAGTGATATTGTACAATCACTAAGCCACCTTACATGGCTTCTGATTCCCCACGGTAGCAGTGATATTGTACAATCACTAAGCCACCTACATGGCTTCTGATTCACACGGTAGCAGTGATATTGTACAATCACTAAGCCACCTACATGGCTTCTGATTCACACGGTAGCAGTGATATTGTACATCACTAAGCCACCTACATGGCTTCTGATTCACACGGTAGCAGTGATGTTGTACAATCAGCAAGCCACCTACCTGGCTTCTGATTCACACGGTAGCAGTGATATTGTACAATCACTAAGCCCCTACCTGGCTTCTGATTCACACGGTAGCAGTTGATATTGTACAATCACTAAGCCACCTACCTGGCTTCTGATTCACACGGTAGCAGTGATATTGTACAATCACTAAGCCACTTACCTGGATTCTGATTCACACGGTAGCAGTGATATTGTACAATCACTAAGCCACCTACCCGGCTTCTGAAATTTACACGGTAGCAGTGATATTGTACAATCACTAAGCCACCTACCTGGCTTCTGATTCACACGGTAGCAGTGATATTGTACAATCACTAAGCCACCTACCTGGCTTCTGATTCACACGGTAGCAGTGATATTGTACAATCACTAAGCCACCTACCTGGCTTCTTCATCATAACATCTGAGAAGCGGAAACATTAAGAAACTAATGAATTTACACTTAAATAGAATTACTTGGTCTTACCTCTTTGTGGATCACTAAGACCAGGTGTGTAAGACCAGGTGTGTAACACCAGGTGTGTAACACCAGGTGTGTAAGAAGAGGTGTGTAAGACCAGGTGTGTAAGAAGAGGTGTGTAAGACCAGGTGTGTAAGAAGTGGTGTGTAAGACCAGGTGTGTAACACCAGGTGTGTAACACCAGGTGTGTAACACCAGGTGTGTAAGAAGAGGTGTGTAAGAGTAGGTGTGTAAGACCAGGTGTGTAAGACCAGGTGTGTAAGACCAGGTGTGTAAGACCAGGTGTGTAAGACCAGGTGTGTAAGACCAGGTGTGTAAGACCAGGTGTGTAAGACCAGGTGTGTAAGACCAGGTGTGTAAGACC